TGTTTAGGTTTGATTTCCAAGTTGTGTAGTTTTCGCCGTTTAATTTCTCAGAAGCGAGTAATTGTACTATTGAGTTTGTCATGCTGTGATATAAAGAAAATTCTATTAGTGATTTGACTTAATCCTGTTTAATCCAATCAGTTTTAGCAAACATAATAATGCACCCAAATCATTATTAATTTGCAACGATACTTTAGTGAGTTAGAGCAACTGCTACCGAGGGGCAGTCAATCACTCATTCACTAAACCAAGACATTCTTGACTTAAACACTAATTCCAGAATAACTCTTGTTCCTATAGTGTTTTAGTTATCGCTATTTTGGTCAAGAATATACTAACTCTTAGTAATTCTTCGCAAGTGTGACCCACCAATTTCAGACCTCAGAAATCGGTCCCAACAACGCTATCGAATGAAAAAGCCAAAGTTGGGAATGGACTTAAGAAATCCTATCCATTTCTGGAGTTTGCGTTGTTCCGACTCCCATGTTACGACCCTCCGAATGGGTAGTTGCTCTAGGGCAACATGCAGGCGGAACATGGGAATCTCACGGTGCAACCTAGTGGTGGAGACCATAGGACGTGTTGACTTCCTTCTCCCACTTACTATAAATACTTTCTCAATTCACCTTGTTATTGACTCATGCAAATAGCTTCCGAATGGAGGACGCTCCCAGGGCGACACGAGGCCGAGCATGAATCTCACTGTGTGAATTTTACAGAGAGCGTGAAGAGAAAACGATGTATCTTATACACCTTTTTCCTCCCACTAAGTTTTTTAGATGGTTGGGTATACTCTTTACTTAAGTATATTCCGGCTAATTAAATATAACTTAAGTCTAGGTGATTTTTCTAAATCTTACACCACTTAAGCATGCTCATAAAACTGGGCTAACTAAGCTCAAGTACTGGTCCGATCTCCAGGTAGTGGGTGTTCCGTAAACCGTCAACTTAAGTACCTTCAGCCTTAGACAAGATCGTGCCAGGTGAGCTTTCTTGTAACCGCAATTTTATAAGACATCGAGCCTTTTTAACTGTTAAAATTGATCGTGCTCGGTTCTTAACCCTTAGTGAGCATGCACTTATCTTTATTATAGATTTTAACGTCTACCTCATTTTATGACGTTGAAAATAACCTATAACATGCTTTATATAACAATTTATATAATCATCCATTCCATGCAATAATATAACAATTTATATCTATCACTCATGGAACCCTAAGACATGCATACTATACATTATAACACTTATAACATACTTGGAATGCATGAAACATGCTTAGCCTATGGTGGGATTTTAAATCTATATGACATACTTTATGCATATACATTTTCTATTTAATTAAAACATACATTCATAATGCATAATTAATCAAACACACTAAAGTGGGTTGGTTTTGGCATTTTAAAGCAAGCAATTAACTAAATTATTACATTAATAATTAAAAATAACTTGAGCCGCTCCCGAGGATCACGAACTGGACAAACCAACCCTTAAAAATGTTCAATCGGTCCCCAACGACAGAAAAAACACCCGAACCGCCTCTTCCATCTTCTTCGATTCAGCTTGCTTATCTCTTCCATTTTCGATCAATTACAACCTAAAATGGACTCTAATGACTCCATAAAAATTACAGACCTTTCTTCATTCATTAAAGCCCATACACCTTAGGCTTATTACAATAATTGTATCAAATGGAAGCATAAAAAAAATGCCAAAACCAAAACCATCCACTTTAGCAACCACAAATTTCATGCATGAAATGGTACCCACCATGATCAAATTAATGTAAATAAAGTGCCTAAAACTTGCTCTGATACCAATTGATGGTGTTAATATAACACATGCGGAAGCAATTTGGATCTTAGGCACTTTTAGAACATCAATTATTGTAAATTACTAGCATGTTCATAAGTATTAAAACTTAATGAGTTTAAATACTAACCTTTTGTAGTTCAAACTCCTTTTGCCTCACGAACCGGTTTCGAACCACCACTAGTGTCTTCTCCACTATCCTCCGGCCTTAGAACGGGATTGTGGAATCCGGTGAGTGACTAAACTTGGGAGGGATTTTGTATATGTGAAAGAGAGTGTTTGTGAGAAGTTTTTCTCAAGGTTTTTCATCAAGATGAAGAATCCCCTCCAAGTATCATGATCACTCTATTTAAAGAGTCAAGTTTGCATGTTCATGCAAACTTGAGATCACCAAATTTTGACACTTAAAATTCCACTCAAATGTTTGGGATT